ACAGTAAACTAAAAACTTATATTTGTATCTGGTTTATGGGTTTTGGATTGAAATGAGTGTGATTTACAGATCTCACAGTACTGTGACATCTGGTGGCCACAGTGCAAACATCGAAAGATGAACTTTCAATCATTTCTTCTTCCTCACGCTCTCTGTCTGGACAAAGGGGGCTCGTCAGCTTTTAAACTTTAACCCCTCATTCATCAGGAAGTGTATTTTCAGTTGCATCAAAACTACAGTGATCATTTTACAGTAAAGATATGAAGGAAATATTCTGTCTGCTAGATGCAAGAAGCTGGTTCCAGGCCGACATCAACATGGAACAGCTCATTCGGTGCCACTGCCTCCAAAGAATCCAGTCGGGAGAGTTTTTTTCTTGACAGCCCCTGACTTATGTTCCTGCCTATGGGCCCATGGTGTCAGGAGCGTGGTGTGACATACCACATAAAACAGGTCTGTTCTGCTTCTAAAAATGTACTTTAAGGGAGCACAAAATTAGGAAATATACACTTCAAGAGCCTGTCATACTAAAACACTGAATTTCATTACATCCAGAAATAATTGGACAAGCAGCAACACATTGTGGAAACAGCTGAATCAGGGTGGGCTTTCAGGTCAAAGAGAATAATGAGCTTTTTGTTTCTCTAATGAGTCTCTCTCTGACCTGAACATCTACCATCCATGTTTGCCCATGCCAGCTAACCCTGCACAGAGGCTGAACAAAAGGAAGTGCCAGCAGACATCTCAATTAGTCCTCATTAGACACATGAATGGGTGATGAGCATGGGCGGATCAGGCGACAATAGGACCCTGGGCACAGGCATGCAAAAGCCCCACACCCCCCATTTGGGTTGTCATTTTCTTTCTTTGCAGTTGCCTTGCATTGATATGTGTTTTTGGGTGTCAGTTGGGTGCTATTGGTCTATTTGCAGCTGTTTTGCTCTCTTTTTAGTCCTTTTATGTTTCTCACTGGTCCGTTTTAGTCTTTCCCTGGTTCTGCCTGTTTGAATTACATTTTGGGCTCCTGTCCCTAGGTACAATTGGTCTGTTTAATAATCCATCCATTGTAATGAAGTGACAAAAAAATAGAATTTGTGTCTTTTAAACCCTCACATGGGTAAACGGCTTATTTTAGCTGAAACATGATGCACTTCCTGGAGAGCCTGATTGGGTGACTAGTCGGTGTCACTGAAAGGCTACCTGTTGATGACCTAATGAGTGAAATAATATAGGAGCTGAACAGGAACGACAGCAAAAGTTCCCAGAGACGAACACTGGATATGAGACAGCTGTTCCGTCTTAAGATTGTTAACAGAACAAGTTTACCTAATAACTGATGCAAGACTTGCATAACAGAGTACACTCAATATAACAGTAAATCCCATCAAAGAGAAGACGGCAGTCAATCAGAATGAATTATTTTACTATCCACACACACCCAGTCACTTCAGACACACATTAGTCGGGAAGATATGTCAATAAATCGATTACTCAGCTGACCAGTACATTTATCAAACATTATTTAGAAAAATGTATCAAAAGTTGATTATCAATCAAAATGTTAAATATTTGCTTTAGGGACAAAATGCATTAACGTTAACCGATTTGTTTATTGACAGAAAATGAATCACCAAAAATCCTGACGATGGATTAAGTATTAATCTCAATGAGTTAATAAAATAATGTGACCACTTATTTGCTGGCTATAGCTTTGACAAAGTAAAGATTGGCTGCTTGTCATGTTTTTGTTTTTTTTCTTTAAATTACTGTATATCTAACATCTCTGGATGGACAAAACAAGGAATGTAAAGATAATGTGCTGAGCTCTTGGAAACTGTTGTTAAAAAAATAAACACCAAACAGTTAATCCAAGAGGAATACAGATAAATCAGCACTGAAATTACAGCCATAGGATTTGGTGATGGGGACTCGTTGCTAACGCTGATGAGAAGTACATGCAGACAGAGTCGTACAATTGGTCTTTTCCCTACAATACAACAGACAAATATAGCCTCTGGCATTTGAATCTGTTGACATTTTTAAGATTATATCACAACACCTCCTCGCTCTCACACATTTTAATATTTCCATGTTTCAATGGTGAATCCTCCTACATGTGAGAAACCCTCCTACGTTCACTGTGTGTGTGGGCATCCGTCCTGCTCTGCTTGACCAAGAGTGGAGTGGAGACATGTATTTATGCTTTCACTTCTTTGCATGATGTCCATGCCTGACATCCATACAACAAAATCATGACATCAAGAGAAGTTGTTACAGTAAACTGCATTGAAGGAACAAAGCAGGTCAGTCATTTTAGTTTTTTCCTCACCTCGAGCTGCCCATCCGTGTCCAGTGACTGGAAGCTGGTGAGCCACACGCCGGGCTCCGTGTCCGTGTGGATGTGTCCACTGGGCCTGGTCCACAGCAGCTTCTTCATCCTGCCCACCCTGCTGCGGAGGCCGCGGGAGTCCCCTCCATCAGCGCCTCCACCCACAGAGATAAAAGTCCTCATCTCCAGCTCTGTGTCACGCTCACGGGCCCACACACCGAGTCAGATCTCCCCCACACCTGCTGCCTCATCTGCGCCAGGGAGGAGGGCAAGAAAACATTAGTCCCTGGCTGTATCAATTTCATTTTGTTTTTATTACAACCGTTAATGCAATCGCAGCTTAACATTTGAAACGCAGTGTTCCTAAATGTAAAATGCCAATGAAGAAAACATATGATATCTAGACTGAGCTGAGGGGGAACCCTCTTTACAATTGAATAGCAGGAAACAATCTGTGTTGCAAAAGACATGCAAAACAGATTGCGATCACTACTCTGTATTGTTTTTACTGAGATGGCCTTACTGGCAGATGCTCTACAAGTATATTTACTTTATTTGAATTGTATAATCGTCATAACAAATGGTTTAAAATGGCCACACAGAATAATTTATAAAAATATTAAGACTGTAATTATGTACAGAATATAACTTTTAATCAATGCTCAAAATTACATAAAAATATGTCTTTAAAAGAAAGTAAAAAAAAATCTACAAATTCCCTTGCAACCATCGCTCTAGAAATCCATGCATCTTCTATAGCAGCCTCAATAAACAAATCTGGCATTCAAAAAGGTACTTTGAATACAAATAAAAACATATTATCCCCAAAACAAATGTACCGTAATCTTTCTCCTCATGAATCTGCATCTCTTGAGTGTCGATGAAGTCCATGTTCAGAGCCCTGTTGGTTCAGGCAGAGACAGTGTGAAACTTAGAAGGAAGAGACTGTGGCATATATCAGAGGACTGATTGTTCTCTGTGATTGTGGGCGGATGATGCTCCGCGCGCATGTCTAACCGTGCGCGAGTGTGCGTGAGTGTGTGTCAGCTTGGCCTCCTTCCCTGGTTGGATCTGCACTGTGATATATAATTATATTCCATTTTGATTTCATTTCACTTCATTCCAGTTCACTAGCTTCCTCATTAGAATGAAACAAACTCATTGCCTCCATTTTTTATATTCAACATAAACAGTGTTGAATCACTGTTTTGACTTGACTACTTTCACATTTCCATAGTTTGGTTAAATTACTTTTTTGCATTGTTCATATAGTTAGCTATTCAAACTACAAAACTTAGGGTCATAAAATCTGAGAATTGATGTTGCTTTTTGACAGTGTTCAAGATGTTCTGACCATCTAAAAGTTCAACTAGAATAGTGAAAATTGTACAGGTCAGATGTTACAAAACGAATAGGTAAGACAACAGGTCTATTTCTTTTAGACCATTGCTCAGGTTAACAGGAATTAAAGGAGCTAATTAAATATGTCTTCAATGCAGTATTTAATTATTATTTTTTGGTCTATTAATGTGAACAAGTGGGAACTTTTTGAAATAAAGTAAATTGATGGTATTTGTGCTGGAATGTTTTCGTAAGACATTTAATTTCCAATTTGATATTTTTTTTACAATTTAATTTTAACTACTTTTTCTACTGGTCATGTTTTAAGTTAACCAAACTATTTGTAAAGTTTTAGGCCAAGGATAAACCTGATGCACTAACTGCTGTTAGTTTGCCATGAAGCTTCTCAGCCGCAGAGCCTTGAGTCTGGCATGTTAGCAGCAAAGAGGATCGGTCTCATAAGAGTTTCATGAACTACTCAGTCATTTGGTAGCATTATTGTGGTTTAACACTGTAGTTATGTAGAGAGTGAAACAAACACAGAAGCACAGACATGGATCAATTCAATCAGCCCAAAGAAAGTGCTCAGAAATGCAGATTATTTGTGTGAGTGTAGCCAATAATTAGCTAACCTGAACTCGACTGGCTGTGATGGGTTTACATGTTTCTTACCTGTTAGTAGTTATCAGTAAATTGTTCAGACAGGGTTTATCTGTAAAACGTGACAAATTCATCATTCAAAGCGTCTTCTACAGAGTGATGGTACGACATGTTGGATTGGAGGCCTGATGGTTCTCACGCTGCTGGCGGCGATTCAAAATCTGCAGCAGCCAGCGCCCACAGACCCGCCCCCGCTCACAGACCCGCCCCCGCTCACAGATTGATCGAACAACGCACCAATGAAATCCCTTGCTACAGGTAAACACGGACAATCGGCACGTTTTAAACTTTTGAGAAAAGTTATTTATTAATCATCAGTGAATACTTTTAATATTTCTGAGATATTTGATTTAATAATATGTAGTGTAGCATAGATAGACAATCTTTGTCGTTGTCAAAATATTGGGCAGGAATACAGTTATAATGCATTTGCCAAATGTGTGATGAAATGTATTGTAGGTTATTTTGTAAAAAAATATTGACCTATGTTTAATGTTTGCTTTTTGTAGTTTTTTATTCTTCTGTGTGTGTCATGTGACTGAGTCAAATCCAATTAAATATTGATTTTGTATAAATAATCTATTTTTCTATGATAACATTTTCTGTCTTATTTTAGGAGATTGATTTTATGTGGGCATGTTGTTAATTCTTTCTTCAGGACCCCATTTTCTTTTAAATGAATGTGATTTTGATTTATAACGGATAACTATCAGCACACAAATGCAATTCTACAGGAGCACCAAACCCTTAGAATTAAACAATAATGTATTTGATCAATCATAGTTGTCTGTCTGGTTGAATTCTGTATGACACTCAATGGCAGATGTATCAGTTGGACAATTAAACACAGAGAACATGATTGAGTTACACTCTGATGTTTTGCTTTGCTAATTATAAGAAAACCAAACAATCCACCTAACAGCAACCACAAAGTATTTGAGCAAAGAGGCACATCTATTTCTGACATGCTGAGCATAGCAGAGATCGTTCAGGTGTTGACGCTCACATGTTACGGTATGCTGGGACAAAGCAAATGTGTCTCTAGTGTCAACGTGATTCACTTGGCTGGATTTGTCAAAGGTGTTGGCTTTCAGGGACCTGTATCATTTCTGAAAGGTACAACCCTATTACGTTCACGATGGATAGCAGGACAATAACGGAGAAAGCCTTCAAGCAAAAGTGACTGGTTTCACCCACATTTATGGTCAGATTATACCAAAAAAAGAAAAAAGTAAAAGCAATATTTGTTTATATATTTGTTTAATATGTTAATATTATAAGGGCACCATGCAGAGTGTGGACTTGTGCACTGTGAATAGAAGCAAAGGACCAATAGTTTGTGTAACAACAGAGAACCTTACTGTTGTCAAAACACACACTTATACAACACATTTCAAAGGTACTAACATATATTTAAACAAAAATCATCGTAGAGCTTTTTAATTGGGCTAATAATTCATTTCTAAAAAGATATAATCTCATTTGTATTTGTCAAAGATTTGTAGCAACATTTAAGCAAATTCAAATAATTTTAATTTGAGCGGTGAAACATTAATATAGCGATTTGAAATCTGGGTCCTGAGATCAGAGTCCTGACACTGTAGCGATCAGAATTTGCCCTTCTTCTACTTCCAGGGCTTCTTCTTGGACTTGGACTCAATGATCATCTGAGAATGGCGCTTCAGTGCCTCGCGAGACATGACGTCAGCCTCGTCCTCTTCACTGTCGTCCTCTGAGACACAAACATGGGGAGTTTAGATTGTGTGCTGGAATTGTTCTGTCTGTGTTTGTGGCTTCCAACTCACCGTCATTGAAGAGGTCCAGACTCTGATCCTCAGGCAGCTTGACGCGGGTGTTGTACTCCGGCAGCTTTCCCTCAATCCTGACATAGAACTGCTCAGAAAAATAGCAACAATTATGTTGAAGATGTATGTTTTATTTTAATATGACTCCTCAAAGTTTCTCAAATAATCTGACTTTACGTTGGTCTTTTTATCACAAATGCAGAATGAAATGTGAAATTTCTTGTAAATGCCCCCTCAATGTTTTAACATCCAACAGTCTGGAAACATTTTGGTACATGACATGTTGAGATGATGTCATGTCAGGCAGAAACATGGCAGATGAATGTAAATCAAATCAAACACTTCTTTGAAGCATCTCTGTTGGTGCCAACTTTGGAAGTGGGACCGTCCGAGCAGCATGTGAATGCACCACAGCTGAGGTCTGCGCTCTCCAGGTGCCATTCTAGTTTTTCACATGAGGCTCTCTTTTTGAAGTCTTATAATATAAACATAATTTCACATGTATCTAAAATGTCCTATTCCATCTTTTTGAAAAGAACTTGAAAAGAGCCAGTTTGAAGTTGTAGGAGAGATTTCTTTCTTCAGATGTATACAACAAACCACTAACCTTTGTTTTTGTAGTTTTTACATTATTATACTGGTCCTTTATATATGCCTTGTATTGTTAACGTAGTTTGGTGTAGGATAAGTGGAGGAGTTTTAGAGTCATGTCTATGCCATGTAACTGATATGATGAGCAGTACAGTAGGTTTCTAGAAGGAAAAATGTACTTTGTTATGGTAGAGGTGCAACCTCTTGACCGGGACAGCCAACTAGTTTCTAACGGTAGCTTTGAATCAAACAAAACTAGAATCTGGAAGATATCAGCTCACAGTTACGTCAATTACAAAGATTATGGCCTCTCAAAATGGATCTGAGGGTAAAACAGTCAATGTCATTAGCAAATGGCCTTCAGACTGGTACACTCTGATATCATATGTTCTCAAACAGAGAGGGTGCTGTCGAGCATTGGTAATCTGGAACAAACACTTCAGGTGGCTCTAACGGCTGCTTTTCCATTCAGATAAGATATGCACGCACAGCAGCTTCCATGCTAACATGCTCAGCCATGCTGTGTTCATGTGTAGCACTGTGCACTGTATGCGTCAGCAACACCTCCATGCCAAAATCTGATTTTTTTTTTTATTCCGGTGAATTTTTGTGCACCAATTAAAAAGATTGATATGTCTTCATTTACGTCAGGGAAAAAAAAACAGTGCCTGTATTTCTTGAATGAGTGTATATGATTGTGGCGTCGACTCACTTCCTCTTCCTCCATCTCCTTCATGATAGCAGACACATCCTTTCCTCGAAGCTCCTCGTGCAGTAACTTCAGCTTCAGCTCACACTGGGTCATCAGCTCTAACACAAACTCATCTGAGTCTGGAGACACTTCAGCCACCGTGTCCTCTCTCTGAGAGAAACGGAAGAACGGTGAACACACATACTTATGATTGTCAACACACCTTTTGAGAGAAATGGAATAAGAACCAAAGATGGATGCGTTGGTAGGGAATACGTAAATGGACAAATATTAAGGAAAATACAGATTATAAGATAACCCTATAGACATATTTTGTAATTGAATATAAGAGAGTAAAACATTTATTAATTAAAAACTAGATTCCGTAGTTTTTTCCCACTTTTGTTGTAGTTCCTTGTTTGTCTTAATTGGCCTTGTACTGCTACCTTTTTCTCACAATTTAGCTTCTGTATAAGCACAAATATATGAAAAAGTCTTGAAGAGGACCGTATATTGCATAAAAATGTAATTCCTTTAAAAATAACAAGTAACAAAAACAAGTGGCAAAAACATAGACCTACAGCCTGAGGTGGTATTTACCAGCGTGATGTGTTGAAGTTTGTCTGCGAGGTGCTCCACTCCGGCTTGCACAGTACTGAGGGCTTTCACCAGCCACTCCAGACGCTCCTTATCTGCATCACACCTCTGCTGCTGAGCCTGCAGCTGCAGCTCACACTCCTCCAGCATCTGTCTGTCACTAAGAAAACACACACACACAGAGAAAGAGCTTGAGAACAAACACTACAGCTGCATGCAGGCTTTTGTTCCACTTCTGTTTGAGTGTCTCACCTCGAGAGTTCAGCCTCTCCCGAGTATTTCATGTCCTGGAACTGTTGGTCCAGGAGCTCCTTCTGCTCCTTCAGCTGCTGCAGCACCGTCTCGTTCTCTCCCTTCAGCTTCTCCAGATGCTGGTGTGTCTCCTTCTGTGAGATGAAGCGCTCCACTATCTCCTACACACACATGACATTTTTTTTTTTACAATATTAATACAGTACACAGTTCACAGGCTATCCTTCTCTTTTTCTCTTCCACACCTGTATGTCTGTGACTCCCGTGGCCTCCTTGATGCGTCGGAATGCCTCCTCAAAAGTGGAGATGACCTTGTCCTCTTCGCCTGCTATCCTGGGGCTGCTGCGCTGAGCCTCGCTGCTCAGCTCGTCGGGCTGCATCGCTGTTCTCTGAGCCTACAGGTGCCGCAGGTTAGAAAACGCATTTCATTATAAAGAATGTCTCTGTTTCACTGAAAATATATATTTTGTAGCCTTTTCAATGACGTCCATAGCTTTAATGAATTGTAAGCATATTTAAAATGCATTATTTTCTGCTCACAGAACTGTGTAAATAATTATTTAGAAATGAATGAATGTTCATAAATACTTCATCATTCCTAGTCACTGACTTTTTGATATAGTTCTCATAATTGTAATACTTTAAAATCACTGTTGCAAGATAATAACTGGGTATTGTAGCGGCTAAAGTACAAGGTAATAAAACAGAACATTTGATTTGTTTTTGTTTTTTTGTTGTGATCCAATAATAATAACAACATAAAAAACAATGCACAAAAATTATAGTCTTACTTTGGATAATTTTTCCTGCATAAGATTCAGGATTTGGAGTGGCAGTTTTTATAAAGTTTCATTTTCAGTTTTCAGTGGATATTTTGGTCGATTTCGGGATTAACTGCGTTTTAAATGAATTATTACATTTTACAATGAAAGCCACGTCGGAGCATGGACGGGCTTTCACATGAACTACATCGGAACATCTGCAGTGTGTGCACGTTTTCCCTAGCTGCTGAATAGGACAATGGCCTAACTATGGGAGTGCTAGAGTCATTGTTTCACATTTGATTACTCCAATTTCACTACATCATTTTGATTATGACGTTTTATGATTTATGTGCTAAAAAGTTATAATAAAATGCTTTGTAATGTAAAATTGTGACAAAGCATTATGAGTGACTGATTAAACAGTGCTAAAAGCAGATGAAAATGCATTATAAATATGTTTGTTTTGCATTTCTGATGGTGATCAGAGAAGAGATCACCACCAGAACAAAACCATTCACTACGATAAAGTGTACAATATACACCTCTGCGTTTTGCTCACCCTTCTATCGGTTTTTTCAGCCTGGGCCTTGCGCTCCTCTACCTTCTTCCTGTAGCTTGCTATAATACGCTCTCTCTCCTTGCGCTCCTTGCAGAGACATTCCTCCAGCTGCTGCAAGTCAGCCTGCAAGGCAGAGCAAATGGAAGAAGAGATTTAAAGAAAGTTGAAAGAAAATAGCTGTTTGCACACCGCATAGCGATGAGGTAGGCTCATTTATCTGTACTTGTAAATGCATCAAAATGAAAATGACAAAACACTGAAAAATGTTTTGTATCCGCTTCACTTGTGACTCATATCACTTATTATATTAGTGTAAGTAATTATGAGTGAATCATTTTTGTTACGCCTTTACTGGCACGCTGCAAACTCATATAGGAGCAGAGGAGGGTTACAGGAACCTTAGCAGCTTCCTTGGAGAGCTGAGCGTTGTTGTTCATGATCTGCTTGTCGTGAAGCTCCTCTCTGTGCTTCAGGATCTCTGCCTCCAGACTGTCCAGCTGGCCCTGGAACGTCAGACTCTCATGCTGAAGTGGAAAAGTGAGAGGTAAACAAAAGAGAGGACAGGAAATAGAAAGAGTGAAAGGGGTGGGGAGAGGACTGTTTACAACCACTGTATGAATTATTTACTGGCTAATCTTTAGGTTTGGAACAAAATAACCTTTTAATTAACACCTGCATTAATAATGAAACTGATAAGAGGGTGGAGTGATTTAAGTATCTCAAAATCACCCTGGACAATAAGCTGAGCTTTGAACAGCAAAGAGCTGACATCATACACAAGTTATTGTTAAGGGATTTTTGCCCATATTTATACATTTTTGGTTTACTCAAAATAATTACATTTGGCACCAAATCTGTTTATCAAAGGTTCTCAAGACAAAATATGCTGCAACAGCTTAAGAGACATAATCATAAGGTTATAAGCCCTTTTTTACACTCTAGACTTTCTTTTTGAATTGGTGCCTGATCAAAAAACTATTTTTATTTCTGATTTATTACTAGGAAAACTTGACACACAGTGCCAACCTGCATCTTTAAAATAATATTCAGATTCACAGTTTCAAAGGATGAACACTATTTTGTACAGTATAGCACATACTGTTGACCTGCAAGCTCACCCAAAGGATACTTAAACGTGTCTACAGTATGTGGGTGTCTAAGGGTTAAAATGTATAACTGGCAATAGCTTGTTGAGTGTGTTTGTTGTTGTTCTGCCTGGATGTTGTTGTAGATCAGCTGCTCACCAGCTAAACCACAAGAGGGGTTAACAGGTTTGCCAAAAGATTTCCTACAAACCACCTCAGCTGCCCTTTATATGGAGTGGCAGCTCTACAGTATGTTTGATACAATGTGGATGTTGTGGTAAATATGAATCCCTCAATAAATCTTGAAGGAAAATCTCAAATTAAAGTCTAAAGGCTTGATCTATTATTTCACTCAAGTTGAACTGGATAACAACATTACCAGCATATAAGTGTGAACAGATTGATGTGCATTCTAACAGTTGGAATATTTGTAAAGTTAAGTAACAAACTACAAAATTGAGGTCAAGTTGAGAGCAAACAAAGGTAAAGTGAGCGTGGGACAGGAGGTACTGTAACACTGTGAAAGTCTCACTCAATGTTTATTTATCACAAACACAGTACTAACACTCTCATAAGGGTGTCTGCTAATGAGGAATGCACAGTTACAATATTTGTACTTACTACTTACATAAGTTTCTTGGGCAACTTAACTTGCTGAACAAGCTGCATACCCCTGCAAGTTAAGATGAAACCAAACTATATTTTAACAGTGTGTGACTCACCTGCAGGTGACTTTTGAGCTTTTGATAGGTAATCATGATGTTCTCGGCCTCCTTGCACTTAAACTGAGTCTTTTCCAGACTGTTCTCCCAGCGCCCGCAGTTTCTGAAGACACACACACACACACACACACACACACACACACACACACACCACACACACACACACACACACACACACCACACACACACACACACACACACACACACACACACACACACACACACACACACACACACACACACACACACCACACACACACACACACACACACACACACACACACACACACCCAGTTTTACTGAGCGTGTACTATTCTGTCTTATATTTCATTAAAGGGGCCCTCATTTTCAGGTTTCTATTATATTTGTATTTTGTATGCCTCCACTGTGACATGTTTCCATGCTTGAATGTTCCAAAAGGTCTTAATTTGTTCTTATACTGCCTGTGCTGCAGCTCCTCTTTTCACCCTCTGTCTGAAACCAGAGCCCAGAACAGCATCTGTTGTATTTGGTCAACCGCTTAAAGATGTCCGGCCCCTTAGCCTATCACGTAGAATAGCCAATAGAAGAGCGAGGGGTACATAGTGATGTCATTATGTTAAAGAAATAAACAAAGGAGTCCAATGGAGGCGTTTCAGGCAAACTCCTTTTGAAGCTAACTTTGGGATTTTAAAATTAGCAGACCGTTTACAGGCACAATAACCTATATAACACACTACAGGAAAGGGAAAACCCCCCAAAAGCACAATAGGGCCCATTTAAGAGTGAACATTAGCATAACAGATTTTCTTTTTCAAACATTTCTGCATGAGCTTGAGAGGTATCCACCATGGCATCTTCCTCTTTTTTCCGAGCTCTAGTGTCGGCAGACACTGCTCCACTGCTGCCCTCTGGTTTACTCCTCTGGTATTCCTTCTTCAGCTCATCCAGGCGGCACTGGAAGGTCTGGGTGGTGTGTTTAAGGGCGTTGAGACGCTTCGTCTTGGACAGCACTCTCTGGTCGAGCGTGGTCAGGGCTGCCTGAGAAAAGAGTATTGGCAGGGAGAGTGTGGTAAAGCTATAATGGAATAAGACATTTTTCAGCAAGCTGCCATGACCATGACTAAAAAATTGAGTTTGCTTAAATTACATAAGGCTTGGATCATTAAGTCCACTTGGTAAGCAGGTACTGTACAAGCTATATTCATTGAAAAAAGTCCCGGACATACATACAGATGTTGGGGGAACTGTCCTTTTATCTGTGGTAAAACTTATAGTGCAAATAGTCCAACAACATATTTGCGTTTTTTAGTAATAAATAATGCTTCTTCCTCTCACCTTCCTGACATGTTGCGGTAGGCATCCTTCTCCAACCCTCTGTTCTGAAAGGCCACTTTGATGATAGTTGCATCCCCCTGTGAGCAAGACACCAGGGGGTACAAGAGTGTTATTGGCAAGAAAGTCAGTAATGGGGTTTTACTGCTCATTTGACTATAATATTGATGAAAGAAAATAAGCAAAAGAGCTGGGAAAGTTCCCTTTCTATTTTTAAAGGACTTACAGCGTTTACGTCGGCCATTTTCCTGCACAGCCTCTTGTTGCCCTGCCTCAGCTGGCGGATGGTTTCTCGGTTCTTCTTGATAGTGGACTGAGAGCTCTCATAGTACGCAGTTCTGTCGCCCTCTGGTGGACATACATAATTATGACACTAATACACACGATACATATGGAGAACTCGTGTAATTATTCACAAATTACACAGCTAATTGCTGTTTATCTGGTATTAGTGTATGTTTTTACAGTGGCTAGTCACAACCATAAACGGAAGCTAACGTTAGCTACCTAGCACCTGCCTTAGCTTGAACAGAAGTCGACGCTAAGACCAAACAAACTTACCCAGAAGTTGTATTTTACGCTGCATCTCCGTTATTTGGTCATGCAGCGGAGGTTTCATTGAGTCGGCACTGAACGGCATTTTGGTGCTGAGTTATTGTTGTACAGGTAGGCAGCAAATACAACCCGACAACAGTCGGCGTTAGCCTATCTTGACCTGCACGAAGACTTCTGGTAGTCTCCAGTGTTGCCTAGCAACCTGTACACTAACGCTGAAGTCAGGCTCCTCGTTTCAAACTGAGCCACGGAGGCGATAAGTAACTAATTACATTTACTCAAGTAGGCTACTGTACTTAAGTACAATTTTAAGATACTTGTACTTTACTTGAGTATTTCCATGTTATGCTACTTTGTACTCCTCAATTCAGAGGCCTGTACTTTTACTCCACCACTTTTATTTAATAACTTTAGTTACTTTACATATTTGGGTTAATGATGTGAAATATAATCAACACTTAAATCAGACTTTAGTTACACCTGGAGTAAATTCACAAGCTACCATGCAGTATATAGACAGGCTGTTGTCCATCATGGATAACCACCCATCCTCTCCACCTGCAGCTGGACAGACAGCGGAGCTCCTTCTCCAACAGACTGCTGCATCTCCGCTGTCACAAGGACCGATACAGGAAAACATTCCTGCCCACTGCAATAACTCTGTACAACAAATCAACTCTGGCTGGCAGAGAACTCTCTGCTCCATAGCTTCTCTCTTCACTGTACATATATATTCAGTTTAATATTTAATATTCCACCTGTCACATACTCATATATAATACCTTGCTTTATATCTTGTTATTGTTAATTTGAATATTCAACATGTATATTTTCTACTTTCTTGTTTATTTCTTGTCTTTTAATTTGTACAATGCCATGTCTTTATATATATATATATATATATATATATATATATATATATATATATATATATATTAAACTAGCTGCACCTTTACCAGCTTGATAACACTTTAATGCATCAATAATTATAATAAAAACATATAATATATATTATTCTGAAATGGGTCAATTTGCATTATTAGTTATTTTACTTTTGCTACTTTAAGTATATTTGTATGCCAATACTTTTGTACATTTACTTGAGTAACATTTTGACTGCAGGACTTGTAACTGAGTATTCCTACTCTAGTCTAATACTTCTACTTTTACTTAAGTACAAGATCTGAGTACTTCTCCCACCTCTGACTGGACCTTTAGTTTATTTTACAGACATTTTTTTTCATGTGCTAAATATAATAATGATATGTCTTTATTGATCAAACACCATGCTTAAAAATACATTAATTAATTAATTATGAAAGATCAGCTTGAATATTCTAATGTTGATGGTCGTAAAAGTGGGATACATACACGAAGCCAATTCTTACTAAAAAAAAATATTTCCAAACTAAATGTAGTGTTTTCTTATGAAATATAATTAAATATAAAATAACCTATGAGGATCATTGTTTTAACTAATTTGTTATGCACTCTTGAGGGCTAATTCTGGCACGTAGAGCAATATTTATTAATTGACACAGTCCATGCAAATAAACTGTAATGCTTTTACTGGCAATAAATAAATAAATAAATACATTTAATAAATAATCTTCCATATGGACAAATATAGGAAGCATGAATTAATAACTTTTTACTGCCATTTCACTGATTATTATTTGATGTCTAAAACTAAACTTCTTTCATAACTTTACATAATAAAGTTTACGTTTCAAAGTAAATACATTATGGATTAATTATACAAATATTAATAACTTACTAACTTATATATGTGTAAGCTATTAATATGTATAAGTATGTTCTTTTATTTATTAGAAGATCTCAAATATTTAATGGTCTCATTTAACAAACGGACAATTCTTCAATAATGATTTTGTATCTAAATCTTATATGTCAGCATTATCAAATAAGAACAACACTTATCAAATCAAATAATAATCTAGGATTATTGTGTCAGAATAAACCTAAGAATAAGTGACCTTTCCCCCTTTGAACACTTATATGGCAACACACATTTTATTAAGATTTTATTAATTTCTGAAGAAATTACAATTAGTTTACAACAAAATGAAAAAGAACAACTTTTACAAATTCATTACAGATATGTTTTATATGAACACAAAACAACATAGGTCCATAGAAATGAAGACTGCAAGTCCAAGTAAAATCACTTGGTTCATTTGTAATCTCTTAAGGCTTTGAGAAACATACTTAGCTTGTATTAGCCTGCGTTGAGCAACTTTGGTTTGGTGTGCTAATAAACAGTGCAATATACTTAGTAAGCAGAGCTTTACACATGTATCTACATGCTACCTGCCATCAACTGTATCTCACTGGACCTTTCAAAGCATCCCATCAACTTGATGACAGAATACACAGAGTGACAAAAACAATGAACAAAATGTACAACAAAAACTGATTTTTCTTCTTTTTAAATGAACAGTTTATAGGATCTAGTGGCATCTAGCGGTGAGGTTGCAGATGGAAATAGTCTGAATACCGCTCCCCCACCCCTCCTATTACATAACATGGGGAACTACAGTTACCTGAACGGCCCTTTCTAGAGTCAGAGTTTGGGTTGTCCTTTCTGAGCTAGAAACATGGTGGTGCAACATAGCTGACTCCATGAAGAGGAATCTTGGCTTCAAGTGATACACTAATGAAAACATGAAAGCGAATACTATTTCCATTCCCTCCAATAAATCCCCAACAATCCTTCACACTGGACATTAAGGCCAACTATTGCCTAAATTAACAATATTTCATCTGAAAGGGAAGTCTCATATTCCTTCTGATGTATATCCTCCTTGTTGGGCAAATGCAGGCGGGCAATGAACTTAAGGCTTTGTAACAAAATCCTAAAGGATCAATATTATCATCCATAAACATGAATGAATATCATTTGGCAGCAACACACAAACATACATACATAATGTAACACAGGAAATGGCACTCTTCTTTTGTTGTTATTTCCATCACACAAACACACACAAACACCCACACACACACACACACACACAACGTGACCTAGTCTACAGATTTGACCTCTTCATTGGACTTATTTAGGATGCTAAGCAGGTTCTGGGACATGAAGTACGGCTTCTCTGCTGATCCATCGTTGCGCTCCAGATCCTCCACTGTGACATGAGCAGAAGCAGTTGAAGAACAACATTCGGTAGAGTCATTTAACTTGTCCATGCCTCGGCTCTCTATAATCTCTTTTGCCTTTCAAGTAACTCCAGAAACGTCATGTTTAAAAAAAGTGGTGGGTACCCTTTTTTCAGACCACAACTAGTGTATTGTAACAAAGGCTTAACATTTGTTAGCAACAACTTTGAGAAGCCTGACAAACCTGGCTTCCCTCTTCAATGTCGCAAAGTCATCTCAACAGCGTGGCTGTCATGCTCATAGAGAGAATGGAAAACTTGGACAAGAATAAACTTTCTCAAAATGGGTCCCGCCTGTAACCACATGCTATAGTGATGTCATGGGTCAAAGTAAGAGGATAACCCAGTTATTAAGTAGTTCCTAACCTGGGCCCAAATATATTTGAACTTGAAGTATTAATTTAGAAACAATATTTTTTTTCTCGTTTTCCTTCTTTCAGTATCTAAAGACCCTACCTTCTTAGAATTAATTTTTTTTATTCTTTGGTTGAATTTATAAGATTCATAACCGGCGATAAGGGGCCACAAGTAGTTTCATTTTAAAGGATCACAAGCCAAAAAGCTCCAAACCACTGCTTAGTCATTGCAGCAGAGATATCCTGGTTTTAGTCCCTAATATGGATCAAGTTTCAAAAACCCAGTATACTATGCGTCCCATAATGCGTCTCAATCTGAATGTTAGCAAATATTCACGGCTTTCAATAGCTTTTCTTTATTTCTAAGGTTTATAAAAGCCTCCCCAAAGCATCAAAACCTTTTAGAAACAGTTTTACAGACTCAGTACTCTCCATGGCAAGTCAAGTACCCTTAACTGGTCAAATTGTTGGGGATCCCCTTTAAGACAAATACAAATGTGTTGCTGACTTTTTGTGTTCATGAAAACTCACCTGCTTCCAAACGCCAAACCATTTTCAAGCTCATGATTACCCACAACAGAATGACTGACTGTGATTAAATACAATCACGTTTAATCAAGATTTACATCCGATAAATATGGAATGTCATCAATCAGTAACTTACATCTTTCACAAGGCGACAAAAGAGAAACAAAGTGTACAAAAGCATCCAGAGAGTTGAGATGCTAGTTGCAAGCATTCAGAAGGCCATGTCAACACCATGCAGCAGAGAGACAGAGGGACAGAGCAATGCAGGTTGGGTTAGTAAACTTTTTTTTGGGGGGGGGGGGGGGGGTCCAAAGAGAGGCTGCGTCATGGCGACACTAACAGCACTTACATCAGTCAAAAATACCAAGGCAAGTAGGTGGCAATACAATACATCGGATCCCATCTTGGATCTCTACAAGACTGAAGCTGAAACAATTTGTAATTGAAGAACACTACTGTATATATACACATTTCATAGGACAAAAAAAAGATCCAATATTCATACAGTCTATCAAATATGTCTGTAACATTTTGGCTGGTCAGCTGGTATTATTGTAAACAGTGAAAGAGATTCACCATCGATTGACATGAGTGTGTTCCGGCTGCAAAACACGGTACGTAGTGGTTCTGCAGTGCATCGTTTAACAGGATTAAGACAACAAATATCAGAGACAGCAATCAGGCACAGGTTCAGCACTCACAAAGTTCTACAGATCTTCACGATATATAAAAACCAACACTGTTCTAAAACCAACACAAGAGAGCGTTTTTTTTGTTCAAGCTACAGAGATGCAACTGGGCTTTTGACCTTCTTTGACCTCCAAGCTGTCACATCGGAAATATTTAGCTTTTGTTGTATGCCGCACATTTAACATGCCCACATCACATCACGTTGTAGATACAGTACTTTTTGAGGTTAACCTTATTTATTTGCCCTTGCATTACTGTTTACTCCTGTGGTGCAGAAGGAGGACTATCTTCCAAAGATTCCTCTTTCTCAGCCTCCGCAGCGGGAGGTGGCGCCTCCTCGGTGTTTTCCTCCTGCTTTGCCACCTCTTCTTTCACCTCTGCTTCTTCTTTCTTTTCAGCCTCCTCAACCTGACTG